ATTTCCTGGAAATCGATCGAATTGGTAGACACACCACGACCGCCATAGTCATTTAATTGATTAAAATAAATATTGTCTAAACTTCATATTTTCACGATCAAAGTAGATAAACAACAATAAAAAATCAGTTCTATTCAAAAAAAAAAATATGCTAATTGCAGTCCTAACTTAATTGATATTAAAAGCTAATGCGAAAATAACTTTTGAGTATTACTCATACGACATATGTATAATGTATCGCCTAGCACATACATATTTACTACTTATTTACATACTTATCACTAGCTTAGAGTGAAAAGTTGCTAAGTTCACTTTTTATGAAAAGTCATATTTTGATATAGGAAGCAAGGGATATAAAATATACATCAATTCGAAAAGGATTAAGGTATTTTCTTTATTTTTTCTCGGTTATCTACATTCAATGAACGAAAATTTGCTATATCCAAAAGAGGCATCGAATAAAGATCGAATCCTTCTTATTCGCAATGAGTTTTGCTTTATTTTAAAAATGGAAAATGTTGTATTCAAAGATATGCGAAATACTCGAAGGAAATGGCTATCAAAGTTATTTTTCTATCTTGTATAATTAAAGAAAAATGGACTTAGCAATTTTGCACTCTAAGCTGGCGATATGTGCTTATATGCATACGAATGAGCATTGTATGTATGTACATATTTGGTAAACAAAATGCGTTTAAAAATGAAAAAAAAATATTATGACCAATAATAGAAAAAATGTTATTTTTCATAACAATCTTTGGTCATTTTATTATTCTGTGTATTATATTTCACTTCCATCCATTTTTAATAACTACTACGCATGTTGCTGACAAATCAGTTCAATGCACTTTGCGTGCTCAGTTCGTAAACAAATACATATGTATGTATGTCGGTAGAAATGTATGAATGAAATAAATTCTCAATAACATCTACGTTATCGAAGCAATTATGCTAGCCTTAGTAAGTATACACCTGCATGCACATTAAGGTGATCCAAAATAACTAACGTAACAAATTTATGGCCTTAAAATAACCTATTTACTGAGAAGAAAATGTGTAAGATTCTTATTTTTTTGTTACACTTTTAAACATTAGTATTCTTTTTACTTATTAATAAAGTTCAGTTTATTGCAATTAGGATATTGCTGGCGATATTTATCTCTTCATTGTACCAATCGTGTGACTAAAAAAAAAGTCTTTTTTTTTTTTTTTTTAAAACATGTAAAAATCTGTACAAAAGTACCAATGGTGTGACACTGAATTAAAATTTGTACAATATTAAAAAAAATCAAAAAATTTCGTACTTAGATTTCCTAGAAAGATTCTAAGTATTTAGTTTTGTAGCCCTTTGAATTTTAGTAGAATAATCTACAAGTTTTAAATGGCTTAAAATTACGGTTGACTTTTTAGAACTTTTAAAAGAGCTCGAAATTCTTACGAAAGTGTATGAACATTGCAAAAAGTTGGAAACTTGGATTTACACGGGTTTTGTTAAAAAATGAACTACATTTTTAAAAAAAATAACCAAATTAACTAAAAAATTTCTAATTCGCGCCGACGACTTTTAAAAGTGGAATACAAATTTTTCCAAATGTGAGAATTTTCTTCTCAGCAAATAGTTTCTTTTAAGGTCATACATTCGTTAGGTTAGTTATTTCGGATCACCCTAATTTACATACATATATATGTTGTTGCCACAGCTGTATAATTTCAAATAAACAGTGTAGGTGCTATTAAGATTTATGCTACACACACATTTCAAATTTTAATTCAAATGTGACAGAAATGAACAAATTTTATTGAATGTACTTCAATAAGCATAGTTACACACATTAGGGGTATTCGGAGAGGAGAGGGCGTGAATAATAGAGAATATAATATTTTCGACCCAGTATTACCATAGCAGAGGAGCCTTTCCTCCTCCTCATGAAGCCGATGTCATCGGCACATGTCAGTAATGGCACGCTCTTAAAAGAAGTGATTTCAAAGAGCGATTCAGTTAAAATTTTAAAGTCCTATAACGCCTCAACTATTTAGACTCTGTGCTATAACAATATTTGTCCATATATTCCAAGATAAACATACATACATACACATATATTTATAGGTCTAACAAATTCAAAAACTTTTAAAATGGGAATCTTCATAACGGGGGCTTACTATGAGCGTATTAAAAAAAAATATTTATATTCTCATCGATTTTTTTCTTGTTAAACATATACATACGCTGTAAATTGATTTAGTTTCATACACAGAAAGTGCTTTACATAGATTCATCGATTTTTGCCCACATTTCGCAATACAGATTTGTGTTCATATTTAAGTATGTATGTATGTATGTATATTCAAAAAAATGCCCAAATAAATTACTTCGCATGCGAGTGAATTCTTACAAATAATCTTAGTTTGTATATTAGGGTGGTCCAAAAATTTATGTGGGAAAAGTAATGTCGGTATTTTTATGCACTTAGGAGGTATTCAAAAAAAAAAAAAAATTATACCCGTACTTTTTTATTTTGAAATCAAAAAATATTTAGAGGTCGCTCAAAGCGCTCAAAGTTTTCCATGTATTTAAATTAAGCTATTTGCAAAATTTGAGCCAAATTAGAAAAAAAATTTAGGTCTTTTTCCGTCAGTTTTACTATGAAATAAAACGATGTTCAAAATTTCATCAAAATAGAACCCATCTCGCATGAGCCTGTCACGTTTAATATGGAATGGCTGTTTATACTTAGATACATATAATTCAAAATCGCTTCTAATAAATATGAAATTCCATTTGCATTTTAAAGGTCATATGCAGTTGAGAGCCCAAACGCAGTAGATGGGTAGATGGGCATAGAGAAGGCGATTGACAATTTGTATTATCAGACGAGGCGTGCGTGACAAATTGGCACAACGCAATTACTTTAATATTGGTATTGATGCCGTATATGCGAGCATATTGACATACATATGATTTATACCTTCTACGTATGTAGGTACATATGTATGTACACAAGGGTGGTCCAAAAAAAAGTAAAGCGGCAATTCCAATTCCCTCACTCCCTAGGATTGTTTTATACCGAGAAAAAATTATACCCCCGTTTTTTTGTTGGACATAAAAAGAAATATTAGAGTTCGCTCAAAGCGCTCAAATTTGTCCACGTATTTTATATGGGGGAAAAAAAGTTTTCGTAGAAACTTTGTTTCTCTTTCGGAGACTTCCAATAATAATGCCCAAATTTTTATTTGACCATTTTCTATTACTAACTATTTCTTATAGGACCCCTAAAAACCTCAAAAAATGCATTGCGTATTATTAATAACAATTGCTTATTATTATTGGCAGTCTCCTGAAAAGACATTTCACATGTATTTTTGGATCACCCTAAAGTGTATACTTACCATTTGAGGAAGATTTCATAGAAAGAGAAAGAGCTTAAAAGCGGAATAGGTGTACATTATAGTAAGCGATTTCTTGAGTACAGATCTACTTTTACAGCGAAAGTATTTGAGTACTTACATATACATTTAAATATTTACTTACATAGTATATCTAAAAAAACATTTTTATGTTTTAGTTCTGCATGATTAGAATAAGCTATTTAAGCCAATGGACATGCCAGTGATATTAAAAGCTAATTAATTCACGCCATATATCCTAATTGTATTAAGTTTCAATACTATTCACAATGAATGTATCTACTTATACAAAATGACATTCACTCACGTGCTTGGCATACGCACAACTGATAGCAAACCTAATTATAACAACAACAAAAACAGTAGCAACTTTTATATAAATTAAACAAAGCATAAAGTGTAATTTATCTTATCAGTCAAATTCCCCAAAAAATTTGTTTAGCGCACTGGCGCCCACAATTGTGGGAATTCTATGGACACATTTACCTACTATATGTATGTTTTTATATGTACAATTGTATATAATTCTCTAATTTTGCGTACACCAACATTTTCATCTAGATATGTACATGTAAGTACATACATACACATTTTTGTATGTAAATTTGCATTATCATGCGCTGGTTAAACATTATTTCCAATCAATTCAATTGAAAAGTGAATATCAAAAAGCAACAAAAAGCTCATCAACAACAAATAAAATACAAATATTTACACGTAACAAGCAAAGCGATACAAAATCATACCAAGGTGTGATTTCGATTGAAATTTATATGGAAAATCAGATGTGGAATTAAACAGTGAAACCAAACTAAGTGAAGAGAATGCAGCAAAAAAAAAAACGCAGAAAGGGAGTGAATGATTGGAATGTAAACATATTTGTAAATATGCCACCTATTGGAAAATGAATTTTTTTAAATGAGAGCCAAACGAGAGAGATTAAGTTAAGTTTTTTTTTTTTAAATAAATTTTTGAAAAGGGTTGCCATATGCTCAATAAGGTAAATCAATTTAATTAATAAGTTAATTAAAACCTTTACAAAAATATATATATATATAGAAAAAAGGGTTTTTCTTAACAGCGGTCGCCCCTCGGCAGGCAATGGCAAACCTCCAAGTGCATTTCTGCCATGAAAAACAGCTTCTCATAAAAATACAATCGCCGTTCGGAGTCGGCGTAAAAATGTAGGTCCCTCCTCTTTGTGTGACAACATCAAGGCGCACGCCACAAATCAGAGGAGAAGCTCTTATATGAAAATATCTTGGGAAAATGATCTGCAATTGAAAAACGGTATACAAATCCGTAATCTACGAACCAAATTTAACTTTACGTGTCTCTGCGTTTTTTTTGTGTCGTTTTAGCCTCCCCACAGTAATATTGGTGTCAAACGAGGGATGTTTGAGTAAGCTTTATTTCTAAAATCTCATATATATTTATGAAAGCGTACTCTAATTATCGCTCTAAATAGTTAGCCTTTTAAATATTTATTTCCCTGCAGCTCCTTTAATTCGCGTGCTTCTCGAGCAACACGAGTTCTCAAAGTTCTTCGCCTCCCTTTTTAGTTTACTCTACTCTACTCATTCCGCTACTTTAAGAATTAAGAATTTAACGCCACCCAAAAAGGTTGTCTATACCAATAATACAGTTATGACACCAAACTAAATAAATTAAAAGTGCGCATTGTTTCTTCGCTTTTATTCATATAAATATATTCTTGCTTCAGTATAACTCATTCAGTCAAGGTCAGATTTTTTGTTTGGCTACTCATAAGTTTTCATGTCGCTAAGTTTAACTTGACCAACTTAAGAGTAAACACGAAAGTTTTTGGTTAACTTTTTCCGAGTTAGACGCAATTATTTAACCGCATTACTCAGTCACACGCATTGCAAAAAAACTTAGCAATGTACTTTTCTTAAGCATATACATTAGGGCGGAGTAATTTGTTAGGAGCAAAATTTTCGACGACGTAATTTTTTGTATATAAATAGTTCGTTCACCATTTTTGTTTAGAACCGAACGTCGAATTCGAATGTACCATACCCTTTTTTCCAAACTAAATTACTCCGCCCTAATATGTATGTAGTTTTATTATTGTATTTTCATAATTTCTCCTCTAATCACATAATTCTTTTCCATGGTTACTTTGCTGGGTAATGAGTTTCTTAGTTAATAAGCATTCTCTCAATTTTCTTTAATTACTTCCTTTCCTTGCATTCTTACTTGCTACCTTTTTTGCGCATTGTTTCGCCAAAAGCTTTGGCTTTATTTGATTGTGCTAGGCGCTAATACATTTACGAGCTTTATTTTAGTTATAATCGGCGCAGATCTGGCGCCTTAAATCGACTTGCGTATTTACCACTCAATGACTTTAAATTCATAAAAGAAATAATATATGAATATTAATTACCGCTTTCATATTCCAATCTAAGAGGATATCACTTCAGTAAACCTCCGTAAATAGCAAAAAAAAAAACATTAACTGTGTAATGAAATTCCTCGCGTGTTTGCGCAAACATGTGGTGCGTACAAACGGTTGTACTTACTACATATGCACGTATGCGTTTTATAAGTCTACAAAGCAATTGTTTTTAATTGTTACTATTTGTTATTCCGTCGGCTGCCCTGCGTATATTAAAGCCACGCGTAACCCTGAGGCGATCAAATTAGTTTACAACTTGCACTCACTTGTCCACGGGGATGTGAATACTTATGTACATGCATGTTGGCTAAGAAATTCACACGCAATATAAATATGTAGTTTTTTTTTTTTGTTATACGAACGCATTTCACTGTTGACCAGTGTGCAACGCCTGCGAATATGCAACTGTACGCCAAATAATCGCGTATTGTGTGCGTGTTATTTTGTGTTAGCTGTAGTCAGTGGCTTTGCAAATACTTTAGCCGCATTGTTGCACTGACCTTCGATTGTGGGTGTGAAAAATTCCGTTCGGTTTGTAAGCTATTTAATGAAAGTTCAGCTGTTCATTAAATTCACCACCCCAATGCACAGTGGTTCAAAACTGGAATTTAGTGTTTACAATTCACTGGAGCTTTCATTTATCACTCAATTTGATTAAATTTTCTTTTAATGAAAGCTAATAAAATTTGCAAGAGACCAGTTGAGCCCGATTTTTGAATTTTTCTAGCAAATTTGAAGAAAATCGATACTCCTGTTCCAGTTAACAAAGTTACATAATAAAAACGAGTTGAAAACAATTTCAGAATGCTCCCGAAACGAAAAAAAGGTTAAAAAAAAAAATTAAAATTAAAAAAAAAATGTTCACCAAAATTAAAAAAAAAAATTGAGTTTCTAGAAAAATTTTGGGTATGCAGTTTTATAGATCATTAAATTTTATTGCAATAAAGTGCAATTTGCAAGAGGCTAAGAGGTCGGGTTGACAATTTGTTCGCTTACATTTAGAGCACATCTGCATGCTTATACCATGTTCTCACCGACATCGAAAACATGTTTTCATTGCTAAAACTGGTTTTCGACCTAAAACCTGTGTTTTCGTCCATGTAAAATCTGTCAAACGAAAACCAGTTTTCGCTGAAAACTACTTGAAAACTCACGTTCCACTCATTCCAATCGGTGTCTTTACTAGTTTTTACGATTATTTCTCGAAGTGGAAGTCATATTTTATCATCTTTAATAAGCCATTTCGGATTTATTATTAATTGGCTGGCCAAAGTAAAATAAGAATGAAAGTAAGAGGCTGCTAATGAAAAGAAAATGAGGGAAAAGCATTTTGGTTTTGTTTTTGTGAAGCAAAACTGTAATCAGAGGATGTAAGAAATGTCAACGAAGACAGTAACAGCCGGTGTGAACAGCCTGCAGCCCACAATCCCAAAACTCGTTTTCAAAGTGTTTTCGTTGTCGGTCAGAACATGGTATAAATGGGAAACAAAAGCGTTTGTTATGGGGCTGGCCATATATTACGTAAGGGAGTTTTCGCCTGTTTTGTTATAGGATGTATGCCTAGTCAGTCTTAAAAACTTCATTACATAGTTATACTAGTCATTCTTTGTTGTCGGTTTCTTTGGTCCACGGTCCAGCCAGCCAATCTGAAAGATGAGTAGCCACAGGGATATCTCGTACTTCTTTTTCACTCAAAGGTATATAATTTTCACAGTCCACTGAAATTTCTTCTTGATTCACCCACTCAACAATATCCTCTGTTTCATTTTCTGTGATGACACACATGAGCTCTCGCCCGCGTCGTGAAATTATCCTCTTTGCTCTTCGACGCTAAGGCTCAGAAAAGATCAAGTGAAGCTTTTTGTGAATGCTTAGGGGCTGTCCATATATTACGTAAGGGAGTTTTCGCCTGTTTGTGTTCGAGCTGCATTTTGCGGTTATAAATGATACCGAAGAGTAACGTTTTTTTTTAGAAAAATAGAAAAATTAAAGCAAAAGTTGTAAAAAATTAGAATATCCTCCGTATTTAATGTATATTTTTCATTTCAATGCAATTTAGTACTTCAATTGGGTGAATTTTCGTATTTTATAAAGAACAATTTTGAATAAGAATACAAGAAAAATAATATTACGTAAGAATCTACGGGACGCCTCCTCCCCCCATATAAGAAAAGGTAAGAAAATTCTAGACCCGCCCTCCCCCACAAAGGTCTTACGTAATATATGGACAGCCCCTATGCTATTGAAAATCAACGCGAACTCTTAGCCACTTGAAAATTGCACTTTATCATACCAAAATTTAATCGTCTATAAAACTGCATAACCAAAATTTTTTATAAAAATCAAAAAAAAAAAATTGTAATTTTGGTAAACATTCTTTTGTAACATTTGAAATTTTTCTTTTTATTTTTATATTTTTTTTCGTTTTGGGAGAACTCTACAATTGTTTTCAACTAGTTTTTATTATTTAACATTTAGTAACTGGCGCAGGAGAAGCGATTTTCTTAAAATTGCTACTTTTTCTGCGCTCTGCTCTAAAAAATTTAATACAAAAAAAAAAATGGAATTCAAAAATCGGGCTCAACTGGTTTCTTGTAAATTTTTTAGCTTTCATTTAAAAATGAACAAATTTATCAAATTGAGCGATAAATGAATGCTGCAGTGAATTGTGAACCACTGTGCAATGGCAACACAACAATTCTCTGTGTTGTTCTTAAACGCATGCTTGGGAATACATACATATGTATGTATACATATAACTATTGGTTTTACTGGCCCTTATTTGTATGTATATATGTGTATATATATGTACGTACATATGTGTGAATTTACTATACATATGTATGTGCATTTCGTTAAGTGGTTTTCAATAATCAATTGGTTTGCTGGAAAAGCGCTCTCGTGAAAAGAGCAAATACATTCTTATAATAATTGCATAGTAACCAATGAACAATGCGGTCTTTTCAGGAGGGAATCGACGGTTTTATTCATGCCGAAAGCAGGAAGGAGCATGTCGGGCGGCTCTTTTCTTTTTAATAGAGGGACAAATATGGACACAATTTTTTCTAATGAGCCAAAAAAAATCAGAGTGGTAAACTTCTTCAAGGACGGATCACAACTTAGAGACAGGGTCGGTGGAGGTTTCTGCTGTCGCAAACTCTCCACGAAAACTATCGAGGGGCTTTTTCCCCTTGGTATATTTTTGCACGTAATTGTCTATAGGCTGACCACCTTTATGTGACTTGGTTCGGCAATTTAATTGGTTTCTAAACAGAATATCCCAACTCCTTCCGAGTTTTCGTCTTTCATTTTTGAGCTGCCCTTTACCTACCCTTAATGTATTTTCTTCTGGTTTACATGCCACTACGCTGTTATTTTCTTTGAAGTGGCTCGACAATCCAACTTGACAATCTTGGGCATTTGTATTTAAAGCAGGTGAGGTGGTATTGAAAAAAGGCATATCGTGGAGGCAGACTTTCTAAAAAAAATAACTGGCTATTCCACCGATAACGCAGTACCCAGTTATGGCTAGTTAATAAATTATTTTACTGAAAATATTTCACTCTGTAATGTACCTTTCACATTTGGATGCCTAATTGGGTACTACAACTGATTCATTTAATTGCGTAAATCTATCAATTCGACATTCTAATTACAATCAACTAGTATTGTCGTGAAGTGAAAGGATATTTTGTCATTCCCATATAAACATTTTGTATGCAAACGCCTGATAAACGCAACAGCTGCCAATTCAAGTATGGGTTCAAATAACAGGCGTTTCGTAGGCTATCAATGCGTGGCTTTCAAGTTTTGCTACCCCAACATACATATACATACATATGTACATAACTACAAATACCTATGGACTCAAAAAGCAGTTAAGTGAAGGTTATGCCACGTCGACTGACGTCACTGTAAAATAAGCTTTTCTTACTCAATGTACTGTGTATCAGAGTACATACTTTTGCATGTACATACATGTATAAACCAGCAGTATTGGCATGGAAATTGGGGATTACGAACGTCAATATATACAAAATCAGGAATCATGATGCTGTACACGCATACGCAGAAACCCCCAAACATATGCACGCAAGCCCAGTCGGACTAGGTTGCTTTCAAAATTCACTTATATCACTGTTCTTTTTCCATCTCGAAGTAATTCCCAAAAAACATGAAGTCTTTAATTCGCTTTTATACAGACGTGAAACAAAATAAGAACGGTTCTTTAAGAGGGCAATTT